ATAACTTTTACTTCCTAGACCCTTTATTTGAATGTACCATGCATTTTTAATGCTAAACTAGTTTCTCTACTTTTTCAGTATACCACAATCTTTACATTTTTTAAATTTCCTTTTTTATCCAACACTGTAATTCTTTCTTTCTTGGCTCTACTTTTGAAACTTAAAATACTGTCTCATTTCCTGCCTGTAATATGTCTCACCAGTTCCTCTTTTTAATTTTATTTATTCATCATTTATTTTTAAATTTGAACAAGGAGAAATACAGAGAGAGAGAGAAGGAAAATGAGAAAGCAAGCTGCCATGTCCAGGACTCAAACCACAGTCGGCCATGTCCAGTGCCTCAACCACCATGCCATCTGCTGGTCCCCATCATCAGTTTCTAATAGTGCTCTAAAATCTACTCTCTTACATCAAAATCTATAGGACCAGGTATAGATTCAGAGATCCTTTTTATCCTCCTCACCTTTAATCTTATTTCATCCTTTTAGGGTAGCTAACTAGGCTTGTGTAAATATACCTTATCTGAAATAAAGAATAGTACCTAGTATATAGTAGGCAGTCATAAAATACAGGTTAAGTGAATGAATTTATCTCATAATCGTGAAGACCATGAACCAAGAGGTGTTAAGATACTTCAATGCCAGAGGGGTAGGCTAGCTTGTGGTATGGTGGTGAATGCAGGTGGATCCCACATGGCTGACTGTATAGTTCAAGTTCCAGATGCTGTGGCTTGAGAAACATGCCAGGCTCATGTGCATGCATGCCCCAAATCCCAAGAGAATAGAGATACAGAGGAATAGCAATTGCAGTGTGACCATTCCCCATGAAGGACTTTCTCATTTATCCTCTCTTTGTCCTCAGGAGTGCACACTCTGTTTAGCAAAAATGTAGAAACAAATAAACACCCCAGAAATGCCAACTAGCTATAGGGCTTTAGGTTGGATTTTACCACCAGGCCTTGCTTAAAATACAATGAGGGAGAACATTTTATTAATATATATGTGGAGTGCTGATGAAGAGTATTAGGGAGGGACCAGCAAGTCGCTGAACTCCCATGTAGTCGACCGCGGTTCATGTCCCGGACCCGGTGGTTTAAAGTTCACGCCCGGCACGTGTGCGTGCATGCCCAAGATTCTGAGAGGAGAATGGAGGAGAAGGGATTGCGGCGTGGCCATCCCCTATGGGGGGAGTGATTTCTCACTTTCTGTCTCTATGTCCCTCTCTGTCTGTCTGGCGAGCACACGCATCCTATAGCAAAAAAAACAAAAAGAAAAAAGAAAAAAAAAAGAATATTAGGGAGACCTAAGCCATAGTTGCAAGCATTTAATGGAGTATAGTTATATTTTAATTTCTTAAAACAGTAGATGACTACACTAATCAACAGACTTTCACGGTAGACTAAATAGCCTCCCATAGAAAAAGCTGCCATCTAAGATTTTCATAGGTAGAGAAGTCAGTACCTGGCTTCAGAGCTTCAAAAAACAGGCCAATTTTCTCGAAAAGGGCCAACGCAGGTGGTGATTTTAAGTTGAAGCTAGTGTTTACTTACCATTCAAATATCCTAGGCCCTTAAGAATTATGTAATATCTACTCTATAAATGGAACAAAAAGCCATGACACCACATCTGTTTACAGCATGGCTTACTGAATATTTTAAGCCCACTACTGAGACCTACTATCCAGAAAAAATGGTTCCTTTTAAAATATTACTACTCGATGACAATGTACCTATTTACCCAAAAGCTCTGATGAAAATGCACAGGAAGATGAATGTTGATTTCACACTCACTAACACAACATTCATTCTGAAGCCCATGGATGAGGCATAATTTTGACTTCCGAGACTATTGTTTAAGAAGTACACTTTGTAGTTACATATCAGCCACCCATAGTGATTCCTCTGATGGATCTGAGTAAAGTAAATGGAAAACCTTCTGGAAAGAATTCACCATTCTGGCTACCATAAGGAGCAATTATAATTCGTGGAAGGAGGTCAAAATATCAACAAGTACCAGGAGTTTGGAAGAAGTCCCCATGGATAACTTTGAGGGGTTCCAGACCTCAGCAGAGGAAGTAACTGCAGATGTGATAGAAATAAGTGAACTAGACCTGGAAGTGGAAGCCAAAGATGTGACTGAATTGATGCCATCTCATGATCAAACTTGAACAGATGAGGAGTTGCTTCTTACAGAGGAATAAAAAAAGTGGTTTCTTAAGATGGGATATATTCCTGGTGAAGATGCTGTGAACACTGTTAAAATGACAACGAAAGATTTAGAATAGTAAATAAACTTAGTTGACAAAGCAGCAGTAGGGTTTGAGAAGACTGACCCTGATTTTAAAAGTTGTACTGTGGGAAAAAGCTGTCAAACAGCATCACATGCTACAGAGAAATCGTCCATAAAAGGAAGAGTCAATTGATTAGCCAAATTTCATTTGTTATCTTTTTTAAGAAATTGACACAGTCACCCTAGCTTTTAGCAACCACCACCCTAATCAGTCAGCAGCCTTCAACATCCAGGCCATCAGCAAAAAGATTATGACTTGCTGAAGGTGCACATAATCATTAGCATTATTTTAAATAAAGCATTTTTAAATTAAGGTCTGCGATTTTTTTAGACACAATGCTATTGCACACTTAATAAGCTACAGTATAGTGTAAACAACTTTTTTTTTTGAGAGGTTTTTGCTGCAGGGCATGTGAGCTCGCCAGAGAGACAGAGAGAGACAGAGAGACAGAAAGCGAGAAATCACCCCCCCAGAGGGGGTAGCCACGCTGCAATCTCTTCTCCTCCATTCTCTTCTTGGGATCTTGAGCACACATGCACACACACCCAGCGAGAGTTTAAGCTACTGGGTCCAGGACTTGAACTGCAGTCGACTACCTGGGAATTCAGTGACATAGCCTTTACACTAACTGCTGGTACTCATGTAAACAACTTTTATATGTACTGGGAAACCAAAAAATTCGAGTGACTCACTTTATTGTGATATTAATCGCAGTGTTTGGAAATTGAGCCCAGAATATCTCCAAGGTATACGCAAGACCAGTTGTGGTAGTGCCATGGTAATGCAATGCTCTGTGTTGCTGGGAGCCATATGGAAGACCAGGGTTCTGGTCCTCATGCACACGTGCCCATTATCCTGGCTGGGAAAGGCTTGGGTGCAGAATGTGAATTGAAGTGTGAGAACTTGCTTTGTCTAAATAAAAAAATAAAGTTTTTAAAAGGAAATTAATTTAAAGCAGCATTCTGTCACAAACCTAATTTTTTTCTAAATTGGTAACTATACTAGAACATCCAAAGTATAATGAGACTTAGAAATACCCCAGTCTCCACACTCCACTGTTCCCTATCCTGACAGGAAAATCCTACAAGCTTCAATGAAATTTTGATGTGAAACATGCTGGTGTGGACTATCCAGGGACATGGAGAATGCAGTCCTTTTTTCTTTTTTCATTCTCTTCCAATCCTCTAGAGGGCAGCAATGATGCAAAAGGAAAGGGACATTCCTCAAGCACTAGCATTTTTTTTTCTCAGCAACAACATAGTCTTTCTAAGAAGAAAACACGTAAAAACCTCAGATCCCCCTACATGAATTATTAAAAGTTTAGCTCCTTTTTGTCCAGCCCTAAATTCATAGGGAACTTTGATTCACTTCTTTTGAAGATACAAAATTTATCTGTTGGCCTAGACAAACTTATTGATATTTTTGTGAGGTTTTTGCTATAGGATGCGTGCACTCGCCAGAGAGACAGAGAGAGACAGAGAGACAGAAAGCAGGAAATCACCCCCCAGGGGGGATGGTCATGCCGCAATCCCTTCTCCTCCATTCTCCTCTCGGGATCTTGGGCACGCACGCACATGCGCCTGGAGTGAGTTTAAGCCACCGGGTTCGGGACGCAAATTGCGGTCGACTACATGGGAGTCCAGCGACATAGCCATTATGCCAACTGCTGGTCCCCAAACATATTAATTTTTAATATAAACATGAAGATAGCTCTAAAAAAGACATTTATTTAAAAGCTAAAAGCTTTAGTTGTATATTTCTGTGTAACAAATGACTCCTAAATGTAGTCATTTAAAACAACGATCATTTTAGCATCTCTCTCTATTGTTCTGGTTGACTAAGCACTGCTGGGTGATTCTTCTGCTCCACGTGATGTTGCCTGGACTGTGGTCAACTGGGAGCACAAATGGGCCAGAAGGTCCACCCGGATCTGCTCAGATAATGCTGGCTGTTGGCTGGGAGTTCAGCAGGGACTGTTAACCAGAGCACCCAGTTCTCCTCCACCGACATATTTATGTAACTTGAATGTCTCACAGCACAGCAACTGGGTCCCAGTAAGGAGTATCTTAAGAATAAGCACTCCAAAATAAGGAAGCAGAAGTTTTCAGTTCCCAGCATTGTTTCTGTACCTACTAATGACCAGAGCAGTCAGACAATCAGCCCAGATTTGAGGAGGAGAGAAATAAGCTGTACCTGTTTCACATGGGAGCCATCTGTACATAGAGGAAGAGAGAAATTGCTGAAAGCCATCCTTGGAGACCACTAAGGATGGGTTCAGTAAAAGCCTATATATTTTTTTTTGAGAGGTTTTTGCCATAGGGCGCTGTGCTCGCCAGACAGACAGAGAGAGACAGAGAGACAGAAAGCAGGAAATCCCCCCCCAGGGGGGATGGTCATGCCGCAATCCCTTCTCCTCCATTCTCCTCTCGGGATCTTGGGCACGCACGCACACACGCCCGGCATGAGTTTAAGCCACCGGGTCCAGGACTCGAACCGCAGTCGACTATGTGGGAGTCCAGCGACATAGCCATTACGCTAACTGCTGGTCCCAGTAAAAGCCTATTTCTGACTTACATTATAGAAAGATAGTTATCAATCATGGAGGATGCAGATGAATATGTCTTCATTTATTATGTGGGAATTCCTCCTTTGTGTACTACGAATACTTCAAGAGCTAAGACGCACATTCTTTATGTCTTCCTTCTCCCCAGATCTGTTACCTAAAGCAGTGAAAAATGGCCAGAGGATCAGTGTCCGATGAGGAAATGATGGAGCTCAGAGAAGCTTTTGCCAAAGTTGGTGAGTAGAGCTGCACCGCATTCATCTGTATCGTGTAGCTTTAGGAGAGAGTCAGTGAAATGGTAACGTGAGCAGGAAAGCAGAGGTGACAAAAAACCAGTGGTATTGGCTAAAGGAGCAGGGAGGCCTTATTTTGGAAAGATATGCTTCAAGAACACTGCTTCTTTCTCTGTAAACATGGACTACAAACTCCCACTCATAGTTTTTGTTTGTTTGTTTGTTTTCTGAAAATGGTCCGTAACTTTCATCTTTTATATTTTATTTGATTTCTTTGGTTTTCTTCATTTTAATATTATTACATACTTTCTCTTAACTTTTCGTCACTGAACCTACAATTTACATAAAAGTTCTAAGATTCTGTTACCAGAACCTCTGTCTGGAAATGATGACTCTTTTACTATGGATGTGGGAAGTGATGCTACCATCCTTATCCAACAGCAACAGGCCTTTTATGAAGCTTTGAGTCTTTCATGGATTCAGGCCTCAAGCCCTGAACAATCACTGCCCTGTCCTCTCACCCCCTATCCACTCTTGCCTCGCTTCTCTAAATGCTGTCATCTGAATTGCCCTGGAGTTTCAGAATGCTGTTTGCATTATAGATACCGATGGCAATGGATACATCAGCTGCAATGAGTTGAATGACTTGTTCAAGGCTGCTTGCTTGCCTTTGCCCGGGTACAGAGTAAGAGAAATTACAGAAAACCTGATGGCTACAGGTGATCTGGACAAAGATGGGAAGATCAGCTTTGATGAGTTTATCAAGGTGAGTATGAAGCAGAATCCAGAATCCAAGGAGACACTTTTTTTTTTTTGGAGAGATTTTCACTGTAGGGCGCGTGCGCTCGCCAGACAGACAGAGACAGAGACAGAAAGCGAGAAATCACCCCCCAGGGGGGATGGTCACGCCGCAATCCCTTCTCCTCCATTCTCCTCTCGGGATCTTGGGCACGCACGCACACGCGCCCGGCGTGAGTTTTAAGCCACCGGGTCCGGGACGTGAACCGCGGTCGACTACGTGGGAGTCCAGCAACATAGCCATTACGCTAACTGCTGGTTCCCAGCAAGGAGACACTTTTGAAACCTGGAGCTTTAATTCCATTTCAGAAAAATCTCCAAAAAGACATTCCTAACCTCCTTGCTTCAACATTACATGCTCCTTCCTTTGTGATGTCCTTGATTGAGTTTCTAAAGGTACATTATACTTTTGCAGGTTTTTCATGGCCTAAAAAGCACAGAGGTTGCCAAGACCTTTAGAAAAGCAATCAATAAGAAGGAAGGGATTTGTGCAATCGGCGGTACTTCAGAGCAGTCCAGTGTTGGCACCCAACACTCCTACTCAGGTGGGTTGTACTGATGGGTGGGGAGCAGGGATGGAGAGGGTGAGGAGGGAACTGAGGGCTGGGGATGGGGGAGACCGGTACAAAGGATCCATGCCTAGGAGTTTACAGATCCTAAACTTGGTGTTTAAATCTATGGGGTGTAAGCAAAGACAGAAGCAAATACAACTTTATGAACTGCTACTTGTTGTCCTGTGTGTAAATGGATCAGTTCCAGGTACTTAGTCTGGAAACAATCCTCACTTCAGGTAGGGTCTGATACCAGATGCTCTCATCAGTAGTCAAAAAATATGCTAAAGGCTGACCAAGTTCCTTTGTAAATCTTATGGATGAAATTAACTACTCACATTCCTATCTTCTAACTTTACAGATTTTCTTAATGTCAGCCGAGTAATCAAAAAAAAAAGTGCTTTTATTGAAGAAAGTTGTACATTTATACAAAGGATGACTTCCAACACCTTAATAGAAACTTTCAATAGTATAAACAATACAATCATCAAAACATTTGTTAATCTGAAAGATAAATTTATGTTTAACTATCTACCATTGCCAAGGCAAAGTTTAGCCTCTTATTTTTAAATACATGAATTTTCAGAACTTTTGCTATGTTGAATGTACATTATAAATCTGCATCAGGGATATCTTTTCCAAACTTTGATGAGTCAGGATTCCTCTGAGGGACACTATGGTTTACAATCACACATAATTTGTAAAACACAGTGCTAAGCTATAAGGTATAACTTGGGGTTTATTGAAGCTTCTAAAATCAACTTTTAGCAGCTTTACTGATAGGAAAGAAAGATTCCATTACAAATGATTTTATTTCATAGCAATTTTGTTATAATGGTATGAACAATCTCTTAGATACTGCAAGTATTCCATCAGCAGGGCTACAACAGAACCTCAAGTTTTATCCTGTGAGCATTAGGCCACATTTATATTTAAATTTCATCTCTATAAACATAAAGTATATTCTTATTATTTACATGTATCTATCAACATAAAGTATATTTTTATTATTTACATGTATCTACATATATATTAACATAAATGTATGTATGCATTGGCTTCTACATATATTTGCATATATTTTGTCCTTGTTTTGCTTTGTTCTAAATATGCTTGATATGTTTTATGACTGGAAGTGAATATTCTGTGCCTATTTTCCAAGCAATCTGTTATTTTTGAAAATGTCAGTAAGTTGGAGATAATAAGATAATGAACCGGATAACCTCATAAAGTCTCTCCTTATCATGAGAATCTGAGATCCAGGTGGATATTTTTGATTACATCAGATTTTCGCTTTGCAATTAATCATTTTAATCATGTACTTGTAGAGGAAGAAAAATACGCCTTTGTCAATTGGATAAACAAAGCCCTGGAAAATGATCCTGATTGCAGACATGTTATCCCAATGGACCCAAATACGAATGACCTCTTTAATGCTGTTGGGGATGGCATTGTCCTCTGGTAAATAACATTTCTTTCTTGATTTCCAAAGAGTTGCCCATTTTCTTGTAACATCAACAGTTAATTCTGTTTATCCTACACTGTCTTCGGTGTTCAGCTGTACCTGGAATGCTTTTCTGAACTTACCCTCAGCAGATCCAGAAGAGCAAACTAATTTGAAAAGCAGCTTATAATGAGGAATGTAAAACTGCAATGGCTTGAGTAGAAAGGAGTGATACACATTATAGAGATAAAGATGGAGACACCATAATATGAGGTCAAAAGCAATTGTTTTTGGAATACATTCCACTTTGCTTCATCTGAACATGACCTACCATATAGAGGTAGACTTGATAACAGCAAGCAGGATCATTGAGGCAATCCAATGTAAGCTGTAGCCCTTAGCAAAGGGACTTTTGAGTCCACACAACTATACAACTCAAATACTGGGGACACCTGGAAAGGAGTGTTCTCTTCATGGGAGACCATCAAACACAGTGCTAGTCAACTCAGGATGGTCTTGTTGAAAATGCTTCTGAAACTCTTGCTAGCAGTTTCTCTACCATTGCAGCCCATGGTTTTGGGGAGGTAGTGGCAAAATGTCCCATGTGCAGTGGGCTCAGGACTTGAAAGGGAGGATGGGTGAGCAAGATATTGAGTCCCCTTCCTATGCTCTGACCAGAGTTCTCCTTTTGGTATTTTATTCATCAGAATTCATCATGAGATTAGTTTTTAAAGGTTCAGTATCTAAAACAAAATGAATCATCAAGGCCCTAGCATACAGGACCAAGTCCTGACACCTTAGATTGGTACCTGAGGCACTCCATGGTCTTCCCTTAATCTCCCAAGATCCTTGTCACTCACCAGCATATGGAGTGGATGACCGAGTAAGTGGCTGAAAGCACCAGCACACAGGTCCACCCTCCCCCATCCACGCCTGCGTGTAACTTGCACCTGTGCCTTTGCGTTTCTTCCCTTTTTAAGAATGGCCCTCCCCGCCATCTCCTGCTATACAAATCCCTTTACCTGACATTTTCTGGCCCTATTGCATTCCGAGTGATCTCTCCCTGCACTGAATTCTTAGAGGACATATCATTGGCAACACTTGGGAACTATTATAAAGTTCTTCAGACTAGTATGTGACTTTTTATATCTATATATTTTGTCTCTATAACTGGACTACAAGCTTTTTAAGGACACGGGTATCTTACAATTTTTTTCACAACCCTCCCCTTCACCAACTCCCAGAGCTTCACTAGTTTAGTCCTAGTTTCATATTTTTCAAATGATGATTTAGCACTCTGTTTTGACTAAATTGCAGTAAATTACCTTTCATTTAAATATACGTATATATTGGGATCAGTAGGTACATGGCATGGTGGTTAAGACACTGGATTCTCACATGGCCAACTGCTGTTCGAGTCCTGGACTGGGCAGCTTGAAAATAACAACAAATAAATAGATGTTTAGTAAATAAATAAAAAATAAAAGAAAAAAGAAAAAGAAATATACATATATGTATGAGTGCACACACACACACACACCAAAATTTTGGAAATACATTTTTAAAGAACAACCACAGGAAAAAAAATAGTTGTTTAAAAATTGTTAGGAAAAGTATTAATGCTGATTTATCTTCTCATTAAAAGAAGAAATAGTCATATGTATCATCAGATTTTTTTCTAAATCCTTTTTTTAATAAGATGGAAATGACCTAAGAAAAATTATTTTTTATGCTCTATTGAGGCTTTAATCAATTTTGAGTGAGTAAATGAAGTGGGGTCCTGATTTCTTGCTCACAATATTGGTATGGCTTCAGGAACATTAACTTTTCCCAGAGATAGTTTAAATTTAGCCAAAATGGTATAAATAATTTTATATCTCTAAATGCCAAGTAGCACAGATTATGTTGCTGTCTTTAATAATAATATTGGTAGAATTTAAATTCAATGTTACTGTGCTCTGTTACTCAGAAGCATGTTTTCTTTAGTTTGCTGTTTCTTTTTCAGTAAAATGATCAACCTGTCGGTGCCAGATACAATTGATGAAAGAACAATCAACAAAAAGAAACTCACTCCTTTCACCATTCAGGTATGTCTTTCTGTCATTAACTTACATCGGATTTGCTTGGAATGAATGAGCACCATCACTGCGGAGTCAGCCTTTTCCAGAGGCTCAGACATTATCCCCAAATCCCAGGCTTTCAACTGGTGGTTTGTCACAACTAGTGGGGGTGGGGGACATATTTCTGTTATGTCTCATATCGCAGGAATGGAGATTGATGGGGCATTAGCTGTGATGGGAGTGCTATGTTCATCATGACCACTTAGGAATAAAATTTACATAGTCTAAATGTTTTTATTCAAACTTTCCCAAGCAATTTATCTTTGACCTGATGCCAAATACATAGCAATTTAGTTAAAAAAAAAAAAAAAAAAAAAAAAAAAAAGCTTTTGGAAGAAGTGACAGGGAGAAAAAAACAAACAAACAAAAAACAGGAAGTAATTCTGGCAGTCTGCACAGCACTGTTGGCATAGCCATGAGTAATAGACGTAACTTGGTTTTATTCCACCCATTTGCTGATTAACTGGAACAGTTACAGCCGTAAGCAAGCTATAATTCTATATTATGTTCCAGTATTTTTAAATTACTGTAATTCTATCAGAAATCTTGTCTCACTTCTTAATCATGAATAGCATATTAGCTCAGGTTTGGATTTAAGCAACCTTGTGTACTTTTAAAATGGAAGCGGTAACTAAATTGAAACAATGATTAAGCATAAATGATGTTTAATGTTAAATTTATGCATATCTTTGCCATAAGTAGAAACCATGTTTTTCATTTATCATTTGAGCAGTAAGGAAGTAACCTATTTTTCTTCTGATAGTTCTATTCTTAACCCACTGGTAGCCTTTGTTTTATTTTTAGTTTGTTGGAAAAATAGCTTCTCTATCTCTCCAACATTGGTATCTCCTCCTTTATGGGCCCAAAAGTAGTATGTAGACTCTAGACTGGAAACTTTGTGGACTCCGTTCCAACTGTCGACGAGCGGCATGCATTGCTGTTGGTCATAAGCACATATGAGGTGTGTGTGTGTGTGTGTGTGTGTCAAGCTATATGTCTGTGTGTGTGTATGTGTGTGTATATATATATATATATAAATAAAATCAAGTTTCATAGTTATTAAAAATACACAATAAATTGTCATAGTAAAACTATTCTATCTTTTCCAGGAATTTGATTTGTATCTTTTCATTCCCGTAATACCCAGTCTGCAAGTCCAAAAGCTATCCTGTTACTCTTTTATGACCCTGATTTGCATCAACAATTCTCTGAGCTATAATACTCAGTGAAAGGGCAATGACTTCCCCAAAGGTGCCCCTTAATTTCTGGTCAATGGAGAGAGATGTTGAGTGTATAGGCTTCATAACAGAGTTAGATAGAAAACTATGACTCGTTAGTTCCATGTTGACCAGGATGGGTCTGCCTCTGCACTGGTTTGATTGAACAGACTGCTGCATGAGCTGTGTCTGAGTTATTAGATTTTTCTCTCACAATTATCAGTCACTGTCTGTTCTCAGTGTTGCAGTTGGTGAAGACTGTGCCTCTAGAGCTTTGTACTTTCCCAAAGGAAAACGTTGTTGCCATTGCCAACCAGCAATCATCATTTGATATCTGCTAAGCCAAGAAACAAAACTTCCATACTTTTTCTCCCTCAGGAAAATTTGAACTTGGCTCTGAACTCAGCCTCAGCCATCGGGTGCCATGTGGTTAACATAGGGGCTGAGGACCTAAAGGAGGGGAAGCCGTATCTGGTCCTGGGACTTCTGTGGCAAGTCATCAAGATTGGGTTGTTTGCTGACATTGAACTCAGCAGAAATGAAGGTGAGAATGGAGTCACAAATATGTTTGTGAGTGTGTGTGTATGTGCATCAAGCTGTATGTTTGTGTGTTTGTGTGTGTAATCAAGGTTCCTAGTTATTACAAATATACAATAAATTGTCATAGTAAAACTTTTCTATCTTTTCCAGGAATTTGATTTGTGTCTCTTCATTGGCATGGCTTTCTGTGATGCATATGATAAGGACTATGGGAGGATGTCAGGAATTCTTTCGTATTTTTAATTTTTATTTATTTACTTGTGGGTTTGGGTTTTTTTTATTTTTTTTGTTTGTTTGTTTTTTGCTGTAGGGTGCATGTGTTCTCTGGAGAGAGACAGAGAGAGAGGGAAAGTGAAACGTCACCACCCTCTCCCCCTGCAAGGGGATGGCCATACCTTCTTCTCAGTTCTCCTCTCAACATTTTAGGTATGCACACATATGTACCTGGTGTGTTTTTTTCAAGCATCTGTCCAGGACTTGAACTACAGAGTTGGCCACGTGGGATCCAGTGTCTTAACCACCACAGAACCTGCTGGTCCCAAGGATGTCAGAAATTCTTAACTTTTTTTTGGTAGAGGTTTTAGTTTTATGGCAGGTGCACTCACTGGAGAGAGAGAAACAGAGACAGTGAGAGGGGAAGTGAGAAATCACATACACACACACACACACACCCCTTGCCGTGGGAGATGCCCATACCACAATCCCTTCTCCTCCATTTCCTCCCGGGATTCTGGGCACACATGCGTAAGTGCTGGGTATTAGTTCCAAACCACTGGGTCCAAGACTTGAACCGTGGTTAGCCATGTTGGAGTCCAGCAATGTAACCACTATGCCATCTGCTGGCCCCAGGAATTCTTTACTTTTAAAGACTACATTTATTCTTGAGTCCATGATATTAATGTAATAGATTCTGTCCACACCGACCAGACTTTCTTAAATGCTGGAGGAAAAGTTTTTGAAGACCACAGACTAATAATAATGCTTGTTTAAAACATATAGCTCTAAATGTCTGGGGCCCCAAACTCTCAAGCTTTTTTCAGAGTTCACCTTGCCTTTAAACATTTCATAGCAATAATGTGTACTTTGTGAAGCAATTCTCATTCATATCCTGCAGTGATAGCCCTAGATTAGGAGAAACTTGATTTATTTCTTACCAAGACTAGAGCAGAAGATATAGGTCAAAGGGTACAAAGTTGCAGTTATACAGGATAAATGAGTCTAAAGATTTAAGGTACAGCATGAGGACTAATTAATCACAGTGTATTGTAGGCCAGGCTACAGTAGTGCGTGCTGCTAGGACACTGTAGTGCTTGCTGCTAGGACACTGTGTCCCACAGACTGGATCCCCGTAGGAGAACTGGGGTCAATCCCTAGTCAAACCTAAATGTTGAGAGTAGGGGTGGATAACTGTAGTCCCAAAATCTCAGGACGATGTGGCAGAAAGATTTCAAGCTCCAGGCTGGCCTGGGCAACATAGCAAGACCCACTCTAAAACAGAACAAGGCATGGTGGCCTGTACCTATAGTCCCAGCTCAGTAGGTAAGGCAAGAGGATTGTGACATGGCAGGACCCCCCTATCTTAAAAAAAAAAAAAATGTATTTTATACGGGCAATTTGCCAAGAGAGTAGGTTCTAGGTACAAAAATTAAAAGAAAAAGAATAAAAGAAAGGTAATTACATGAGATAATGGCTACATTAATTTGCCTGACTGTAATAATCACCTTGGTTGTGTATGTATATTAAAATAAGCAAACCAAAGCATCATGTTATATACCTTAAATATATACAAGGAAAAATAATAATTAACTGTAAAAAATTACATTTAGGATTTCGAAGATCTCAACTATGTAGCTGCCAATTTTACCATATCCTCTCTCACCATCCTATCTGCATCTAAACAGTTCAGTCCAGTCCCTTTGACAGAGATAGTAGACCTTGATAAGTGTCATATAAGACACAATGTGACCTTTTAGTTTTCAGATACAAATCCTACCAATGTGAAATCTGTAGTCAAATTCTAATTTTGAGTTTTATATATTTTTTATTTAAATGTCCAATCACAATAAGAAATGAAGAATCCTGAGATATAATATTTAAAGCAATTTATTACACATAATATAAAGAAGCAAAAAAAATCAAATAGAGATCTTAGAACCCACAAGAAAGAATATTGATTTGCAAATAATGACCTGAGCTAAATTTAAACCTTCTAACTGAGCAAAATATATTTATTCATCTAGGGAAATACAGGATTACATTATTGAGTTACTATAATATGCAGGTAAGCATTTGAAATACAAAATACCTGTGGGAATAGAGGGAAAAAAACATTGTTCTTATTAAAAAATTGATCTCTTAAAAGCAAAAGTGTTTGCATGTCATAAAATGTGGTCTGACAGACCAGAGAATTCTGTACTATTAGTTTTGGTTATTTTTGTGGCTCTCTTCAAGGGTTCTTAAGCATAATATTAAGATCTGCCTGTTTGTCTCCGTCTGAGAAGCAGGAGAACAAATAAGCTTACAATAGCTTATACCTCTTTTAAGAGAATAATAATAAAGTGTTTATTGCACAGGAGAAGCTGTAAGTACCTTTATCCCAAAGAAATAGGTGGTCTCAACTGGGCTGGACTGAGGTGTGTATCATGCTGGGTAAAGTCTCTTCACAAACTAAATGGTGTATAGCAATTTAATGTATGAATAATAATAATAAAAATATATAAAGAAAAAAGAAATAGTGCTATCTTCATCTTTCCAGCAGAGCTCAATGAAGACTGTAATGAATCCTCCCCAAATATCTCCTGTATTTATTTTGCTTCTGTTTTTGTGCTTCTTCAGCTCTGATAGCTCTTTTGAGAGAAGGTGAGAGCCTGGAGGATTTGATGAAACTCTCCCCGGAAGAGCTCCTGCTGAGGTGGGCTAATTACCACCTGGAAAATGCAGGCTGCAACAAAATTGGCAACTTCAGCACTGACATCAAGGTAGGAGGACTTTCATTTGAACATGAATAACTGCAGCAGTAAAAGAAAATTAGGACATTAATGGAGAAAAGGCAAAGATACAGGCCTACTCTCAGAAGCTCTAGGAGTAGTCTGGTGCTATTTTAGAGTCATTTGCTGTCCTAAAGGTCCATTTGCAGCTCTGTATCATGCTGGGTAAAGTCTCTTCACAAACTAAATGGTGTATAGCAATTTAATGTATGAATAATAATAATAAAAATATATAAAGAAAAAAGAAATAGTGCTATCTTCATCTTTCCAGCAGAGCTCAATGAAGACTGTAATGAATCCTCCCCAAATATCTCCTGTATTTATTTTGCTTCTGTTTTTGTGCTTCTTCAGCTCTGATAGCTCTTTTGAGAGAAGGTGAGAGCCTGGAGGATTTGATGAAACTCTCCCCGGAAGAGCTCCTGCTGAGGTGGGCTAATTACCACCTGGAAAATGCAGGCTGCAACAAAATTGGCAACTTCAGCACTGACATCAAGGTAGGAGGACTTTCATTTGAACATGAATAACTGCAGCAGTAAAAGAAAATTAGGACATTAATGGAGAAAAGGCAAAGATACAGGCCTACTCTCAGAAGCTCTAGGAGTAGTCTGGTGCTATTTTAGAGTCATTTGCTGTCCTAAAGGTCCATTTGCAGCTCTCAAACCAGGCCACACACAGATCCGTTCAGAGTCCTAGCACAGCATCAAAGGAAGGTGGGTCTCACTTAGAACTTCTGTATCAGGAATTAGAGGCATGAGGCTGAGATAGGAAAAGCAAGAGTAAGACTACATTTGAAGTAAAAAGAGTATACACAGAGTTGTAATGGCTCTGGTTTTATAAACAAGAGCATCAGATGAGGATTCCTTTTAAAAAACGAAAAGAGAACGACTCTTTTTTTTTTTTTTTTGAGAGGCTTTTGCTACAGGGCAATGCACTCACCAGAGAGAGAGAGACAGAGAGACAGAAAGCAAGAAATCACCCCCCAGGGGGAGATGGCCACGCCGCAACCCCTTCTCCTCCTCCATTCTCCTCTCGTACTTGGGCACGCACGCACACGCGCCCAGCATGAGTTTAAGCCACCAGGTCCGGGACTTGAACCGTGGTCGACTACATAGGAGTCCAGCGACATAACCATTATGCTAACTGCTGGTCCCTTGAGAATGACTCTTCTAATTTCACGAATAGTACCAAACCTGATATCTGCTTCGTGCCAGGCTTTATGCATGTATGAGGGGATTTTTTTAAACTCCATGGAAAAGTGGAATTAAAGTATGAGTTTGTTTCAGTGCAAAAGAAATAGAAATCCATGCCTCATTTTTTCATAATACACATTTCCATGAGCTTTTGAAAGACTTCTCGTATTGACCTCTTGTATTGATGCAATATGAGGAAAAATATTTCAATCTCTGTTTTCTCAAAAGTTTAGGAAATTTTTTACAAAGACAAAGAGTCAGAGGAAAGGTCATAATGTTCACCAGGAATCCAGGTGTGCTTACAATTCTTTGAGCAATATCTTTCCACTGCAGCCCAATGTGGATTCCATGGTGTTTACAATTCAGTTTCATTGCCAGTTAGAGGAAAACTTCTGGGAAAAATCTTCCCATTCCTTAAGACCTGGGCTAAATTAAATGTATTACTATACAACTTTCACTGGTTATTAACATTCTTCTAGCATCACCAGCCAAACTATGGCTTAACAGTAGTTAGATGTCTTATTTCTTTCTGCACTCAAAAATCAAGTGCTGGAACTATAAAACTTTTCAACCAAAATCAGGCTGCTAGAGCTTATCCATTTACTCATTGTCCTATCATTTAAAAACTAGTCTTTAGAATAATAACCATTTTGGTCGTCATGGTTACATCCCTGGCCTCCCATGTAGTCAACCACAGTTTGAGTCCCAGCTTAAAATTCACACTGGGCACATGTGCATGCGTGCTCAAGATCCCAAGAGGAAAATGGAGGAAAAGGGACAGCAGCATGGCCATCCCCTCTGAGGGGGATTTCTCGCTTTCTGTCTCTCTGTCTTTCTCTGTCTCTCTGGAAAGTGTATGCACCTTATAGCAAAAGTCTCTCTCTAAAAATAAAAACATAAATAAAATACAATAAAGCATAATAACCATTTCAGACTTTGTAAAGTACCTGTATAAGATAGGAACTAGTAAGCGGAGCACTTTCACGGTGGTTGTTCCTGTCCTCATGGGATAGCTGCATCCTGAGATCAGTGCTGGAATTTCAAAATAACCACATTAAAAAGCAAGAGAAGGGGTAGGAAGAAAGGAAAGAGATGAAATTTGGCTTCCCAAGGTGCACATCAGTGACTCACATCCTCTTGGTCTCACCTTTCTAATGTCAGATGTGGTGAGCAAACCTCTGCCCTGTCCAGATTCTGCCCAGTTTTGAAACAAAGTAATGGCTGATTTTTCAGTCTTTAAGAGAAATTAAGGTGCTTTTAAATGCTTTAAATAAATTATGTGAAAATATGTATGCTTTTATTGCCTGAGAATAATTTGATGATTTAGAGAATTCTTTTTGCCAGTAAGCATATTTTAAGAACCTAAGAAAACGGAATTCAACGTATATATGCAATCTATCATAACCGGATGTGACCATTTTTTCTAGCTTCTAGATAAACACTAAATGTACTTGTCATCGTACACCTTAATATATCTCATTTTATGTAAAAACTGCTTATTAATGCTTCAACTTTCTGTCTTTGAAATCTTTATTTTTCTTTTGCTAATTGTCCATTAAATGTATTTTGAAACTCTGCTTTAAACTTCTGCTTCCTTCTTCTGTCACCTTTTTTTTTTTAATTAAACCTTAGCTGACTGACTTCTACAACAATATAAAGGTATATATATATATTTTCCTGCATACAATTTAATATATGTGAATAAATTGTTTTTCCCCCTAAGGGCAACAGAAAAATATTTGCTTCTTGGGTTGTCTTTTGTGTATGTCCTATACTTTTAACTGTTATACTTCTTTAAAAAAGAAAAGCAAATACATTATGCAAACAGACAAACCGAACATTTACATCATTGAATGTTTCAAGCTTTGTTAATTAAGTTATATTGTTCAATGACAGTCAAATAGGAAATAAAATATTTGCTTTTGGAGAATTATTGTGCCAAGTATGTAATGAGCTGTACGGTTTTGAATTTACAATGTCTTAATTTCTCACAGGACTCAAAAGCTTACTACCACCTGCTTGAGCAGGTGGCTCCAAAAGGAGATGAAGAAGGTATTCCCGCTGTGGTTATTGACATGTCAGGACTAAGGGTAAGACCACATCCCAAGTTTTGTTTGGAGAACGTGATGCTATCTTTGTGTGGGCAGTTCCACTGTTCCGTGTAACCCTGGCTCTGGAGTTCCATGAGTGAGCATTTCTGGGCAAAGCCCTGTTTCAACTACTAAAAACTGTTCATAGTTTTGGATAATTATTGTGGGAAGTTGAGTCTGGAATAAGACCCTAAGAAAGAAAGAAACTGAAACTATGAAATGCCACGTTCTATGTTATACTCTTCCATGTATGTCATTATTTAATGGGCTTTATAACACTAACATGGGGCGGGAATGTTAAAACTTCAATCTTGTCACCACTGTAGTATGGCTCTTAAGAAGTTGCCTTGCCTATTTTTGTCACTTAACATCATTGGAGTTAAATCCAGTGAGTTACTATTGAAGCCATTCCTGAATGAGAAGTAATAGTAAATGAGAACTAAAGTTCCTGAGACGTAAGAGGGTGTTAACTAATAAAGCATCATGTTGAGAAATAATTCTAATTTAAACCTGTTTTCTGAAAATTGGTAGTTTTAGAGACATTCAGAAAAGTGCAGCATACTTCGATAAAACTTTAATTTCGTTCTAAGACCCTTCTTAGAAGTGACTGGAGACTTCCTAGAATTATTTGAGCATGTGAAGTAAGTGGTTCTCAATCTGAAGTCCGCAAATGCCAAAATGTTATCGTTTATTTATCAATGACAATAAGTAGGTTAACTAACCGATGGAATTTATTTTGTTTGGATTGCAAGTACACCAACTCAGTGTGGGGAAAGTAATTATGCTAATCAGATGTTCTTACTGACAGGTGCAAATATCTTTCATTAATTAGAAATAGGAATATAAATTATTACTTAATAAATACACATTTTTTGGTTAAAAAAATCTTACTAAGTCTGTGAAAGAAAATAATACAAAAGGAGCTTAATGATTGAATATAACTAGGATCAACCTAAATTATAGGATTGTGGAATCTACTGATTCTCTTCAAGGCAACCCACAATTGACGAAATTGTTCTGTATAGAGATGAGAGGTCTCAATTACTTAATTTGCAAGATTCCCTTTACTTGTGTCTTTCTGGTGTAGGTGCAGGCGCATACATGTAATAATATGTTATTATCAAGTACCTACCTGTGCTAAACCCTAAAAGTTTCCATGAGCACCCCATTTCATTTTCATGGCGTGCACATCTATTGGGGGCATGGAGAGCAACCTTGAGATGTCCTTTTCATTGCAGGAGAAGGACGATATTCAGAGGGCAGAATGCATGTTGCAGCAGGCGGAGAGGCTGGGCTGCCGGCAGTTTGTCACTGCCACAGATGTTGTTCGAGGAAATCCCAAGTTGAACTTGGCGTTCATTGCCAACCTCTTTAACAGATACCCTGCCCTACAAAAGCCGGAGAACCAGGACATCGACTGGGGGGCTCTTGAAGGTAACTGTAAACCAGTCGGTTAAGACGTTCAGAAAAGCATTCACAAGGCTAATTCAGCGGCAACTCAAATCACCTCCTAAATAAATGTAAACCCATCGCACATGCAAGCAGGCCATCAATTCTCTGGTATGTAGGAGGATAAATAGATCAGTCGATCAATTACAGCCAAGCAGGAACAATCAAATACCTTTATATCACATCCATTATACATAGGCTTCATCCATTATCAGAATTAAATGTTTGGGAAGATAATACATTTAATTATTGGCTACAATAAATCCTGAGTTTCAAAAACCTAATTTATGTACTTAATGGACTGCGTTAGTTTCTAGAGACAAGACATTGCCACCACTCACCATCTAAAAATGATATTAAGTGGGAACAATGGTGTAATGGTTACATTGCTGGACTCCCATGTAGTCGACTGCAGTTCGAGTCTCAGACTCAGTGGCTTAAAATCTCACACCTGGCACATGTGCATGTGTACCCAAAAATGGAGAAGGGAATGAGGTGTGACCCTCCTCTTGGGGGATGATTTCTCCCTTTCCATCTTCCTGTTTCTCTGGTGAGTGTACGCGCCCCACAGCAAAAATCTCTTTTAAAAATTTTTTAAAATAAAAAAAATGATATTTAGCTATGCTAGTATGTGCTCATCGCGTTTTTTATTTATTTATTTATTTTATTTGAATGGATGAGGAGTGCCCACAAAACTTTTTTGAGACAGAATTCCAAATTATTGGCAATGAATTTTACAATTCAGTGCTCTAAGATTGGACAAAAGAAAAAAAACATATTAGTCAAGTTCTCTAGATAAAAATGATAGGAAAGGTTTTATGTTTTCATCATGAACTAGACCCAATATTGAGACAAAGAATAAAGTCAAGATGAATAGTAAATAATCAATAAATGTCACCCAAACAAGGAAATCTAGATTTAAAGTGTTGGTCGATCCTTTTCCACAATGTTTTATTCTTACTAGAAAGTTTTCAGCCTATATTCGAACACTGCTAGATTTGTATCACTTCATAAATAACCATCAGAGATCTGTGTATTTTGTTGACTTCAAAATCTATATATCAAGCCCACTAATTATCCATTTCCAGCTGCCCCTAGGATATCGCTATTTGAGTCCTTTGCAATAAATTGAAATGAAGCATGTACAAAACAGGATTGATCATTTCTCCTCTCTCCTCTTCCATTGACTTTCCACCCCACCTCTGATCCTATCTGTTCTCTTTTTAAAAAATACTCCAGTTCTATTAACTAGACCATTTGCTTGTTTGTTTCTGCTTTTTTAGAGATAGTCTTGCTATAGGGCATGTGTGCTCACAGGAGAGACAGAGACAGAGAGACAGAAAGCGAGAAATCCTGCCCCCAGGGGGAATGGCCATGCCACACTCCTTTCTCCTCCATTCTCCCCTTGAGATATTTGGGCACACACACACACCCACCCAGTGTGAGTTTCAAGCCACCAGGTCCAGGGTTTGAACCATGGTCAGCCATGTGGGAGTCTAGTGACATAACCATTACACCATCTGCTGGTCCCAAGACCATTTGTTTAGCACAATTACCAGATAAAATCCAATGAAACTTTGGTTTTCATTGATATCTCCTATCCTTCAAATCAGCAAATATTAATAATTCTTCCTTGGGATGTCTGGATTCTTAATATCTTTTACACCAGTTATTTTAATAGGTTTTAGGGGCTTGTTTCTTCATTCATCAAACACTTTTATATGCCTCACATGTCAGTGCCAAACACTACCCACTCTGCTCTTTTGATTTAAATACAGATCACCTTTCAGTAATCCTGCACACCGCTGCCAAACACATCCCAACACTGCTTTCATTACATCTCTGCCTTGCTCAAGAATTTGTTATAGTAATAAAAATAACTGACATTGTCTAATATATCAACTTAGATCTACTACCTGGCTTTCAAAAATCCCTCATTCTAGCTCCAGTCTATAGACAGCCTAATCTCTGTACTGTATAATATAGATCCCTGATCTCATTTTGTTAGTTTGCTATAAGGCACATGCACTTGCCAAAGAGAGAGAAACAGAGATAGGGAGACAGAGAAAGTAAGAAATCACACCCCAAGGGAATGGTTCCACAATCCCTTCTGCTCTATTTTCCTCTTGAAACTCTGGGTACACACACACACACACACACACACACACACACACACACACAGTGTGATTTTTAGGCCTCCAGGTCTGGAACTTGAACCAAGGAATCAGCCATGTGGAATCCAGTACTTTAAACACCATGCTACTTGCTGGTCCATTCCCGGTCTCTTAATCAAGACCTTGTCTGTTATTCCCTTTCTGTTCATATTTACACCATCTCCTACCCGACTCCTTACTATTGCCCATATTCTCTGTTCTTTCCTTTATACTATCCAGATTTTGTAGCCCTAGAAGGTAAAGTTCAAATTCTACCCTTCCAAATTTAGTCCACACTATTCTTTCCTCTGTCTCAGCTCAATAGCAAATATAACTGCCTTGTACTTGAGTCCTCTAACTTGAATTATGTTTGTTTGATACCTAGAAGTCTTGTTTTCCCAGCAAAAATGTAAGGCTTTGAGAGCCAACTCTGAACAGTTACCCATATAAGATCTTGTACACTACTTTAGATGCTATAGTAATACTTGCTGACTTGAGATGAAATAAAAACCAATACAGAATAGGAGGCCACATCTGAAATACAATAGGTTTTTCTTTTTTTTTTTTTTCATTCTATTTCTATTGGATCATCCAAAAAGTCATAATATGTCTTTCTATGCAAAAAATGTATCATGGCTTTTCCAATGACCCAGTAGTTTTTACTGAAGCCTCTTTAATTAAAAACTAAGATCATGAAAAAGGCAGCTGCAGTGACTTGTGATGGCATGCCACTCTGCAATGCTATTAGCCATACAGAATATTAGAGCTCAGTTCCCAGGTGGACATGTACATACCAAGCACCTGTGTGCCCATGACACTGGCTAACAAAGATGATGGTGAGGGTGATCATGGATGAGATCCTGTTGAGGATGCCTTTGTGTGTGTTGTATGTGTGTGTGTGTGTGTGTGTGTGTGTGTGTGTGTGTATGTCTAAAACAAACAAAAAG